AAGTGCAGAAAGAATAGCAAATATGGCAGGCGACCAGCTTGGCGTAACAGTGAAATCTTCGGTGAGCTTAAACTCAAAAAGGAAGCTTACAAGAACTGGAAATTTGGACAGATGACTAGGGAAGAGTATAAAAATATTGCTAGAGCATGCAGGGGTGTAATCAGGAAGGCCAAGGCAGAATTGGAGTTGCAGCTAGCAACGGATGTGAAGAGTAACAAGAAGGGTTTCTACAGGTATGTTAGCAACAAGAAGGTGGTCAGGGAAAGTGTGGGACCCTTACTGAATGGGGGAGGCAACATAGTGACAGATGATGTGGAAAAAGCTGAAGTACTCAATGCTTTTTTTGCCTCGGTCTTCACAGACAAGGTCAGCTCCCAGACTGCTGCACTGGGCAGCACAGTATGGGGAGGAGGTGAGCAGCCCTCAGTGGTGAAAGAACAGGTTAAGGACTATTTAGAAAAACTGGATGTGCACAAGTCCATGGGTCCAGATCTAATGCATCCAAGGGTGCTGAGGGAGTTGGCTGATGTGATTGCAGAGCCATTGGCCGTTATCTTTGAAAATTTGTGGCAATCGGGGGAGGTCCCGGATGATTGGAAAAAGGCAAATATAGTGCCCATATTTTAAAAAGGGAAGAAAGAGAACCCGGACTACAGACGGTCAGCCTCACTTCAGTCCCCGGCAAAATCATGGAGCAGGTCCTCAAGGAATCCATTTTGAAGCACTTTGAGGATAGGAAGGTGATCAGGAACAGTCAACATGGATTCACCAAGGGCAAGTCATGCCTGACCAACCTGATTGCTTCTATGATGAGATAACTGGCTCTGTGGATATGGGGAAAGTGGTGGATGTGATATATCTTGATTTTAGCAAATCTTTTGATACGGTCTCCCACAGTATTCTTGCCAGCAAGTTAAAAAAGTATGGATTGGATGAATAGACTATAAAGTGGATAGAAAGCTGGCTAGATTGTCGGGCTCAACAAGTAGTGATCAATGGCTCGATGTCTAGTTGGCAGCTGGTATCAAGCAGAGTGCCCCAGGGGTCAGTCCTGGGACTGGTTTTGTTCAACATCTTTATTAATTATCTGGATCATGGGATTAATTGCACCCTCAGCAAGTTCGCAGATGACACTACGCTTGGGGGAGAGGTAGATTCGCTGGAGGGTAGGGATAGGGTCCAGAGTCACCTAGACAAATTGGAGGATTGAGCCAAAAGAAATCTGATGAGGTTCAACAAGGACAAGTGCAGAGTCCTGCACTTAGGAAGGAAGAATTCCATGCATGGCTAAAGGCTGGGGACCAACTGGCTAAGCAGCAGTTCTGCAGAAAAGGACCTGGGGATTACAATGGACGAGAAGCTGGATATGAGTCAGCCAGTGTGCCCAGCAGTGTGCCCAAGAAGGCCAACGGCATATTGGGCTGTATTAGTAGGAGCATTGCCAGCAGATTGAGGGAAGTGATTATTCCCTCACTACAGAAGGGATGTGGACAAATTGGAGAGAGTCCAGCGGAGGGCAACGAAAACGATTAGGGGGCTGGGGCACATGACTTACGAGGAGAGGCTGAGGGAACTGGGGTTATTTAGTCTGCGGAAGAGAAGAGTGAGGAGGGATTTGATAGCAGCCTTCAATTACCTGAAGTGGGGTTCCAAAGAGGATGGAGCTAGACTGTTCTCAGTGGTGGCAGATGACTGAACAAGAAGCAATGGTCTCAAGTTGCAGTGGGGGAGATCTAGATTGTATATTAGGAAACACAATTTCACTAGGAGGGTGGTGAAGCACTGGAATGGGTTACCTAGGGAGGTGGTGGAATCTCCCTCCTTAGAGGTTTTTAAGGCCTGACTTGACAAAGCCTTGGCTGGGATGATTTAGTTGGTGCTGGTCCTGCTTTGAGCGGGGGATTGGACTAGATGACCTCCTGAGGTCACTTCCAACCCTAATATTCTATGATTCTAACTCCAAGCCCACCTCTGAGGATTCTGCTTGTAAGTCACCTACACTGGAATCGACATGAGCAAGCACTCGAAGAAGAAAAAATTGTTCTTTGAGATGTGTTGCTCATGTCCATTCCATTACCCGCCCTCCTGTCCCTCTGTTGGAGTTATCGAGAAGAAGAAACTGAGAGGGCGGAGGGCTGGCGGCACCTGATAAACCATGGAATGAGCGCGGCACTCCAGAGGGCACCACGGCTAGCCCTACGGATACTGCTAACATAAATGTCTCCGACCGCACATGTGGGTGCGTGCACACCTACAATGGAATGGACATGAGCAACACATCTCGAAGAACAATGTTTAAGAAAAGGTGGGTAACCATTTTTTCCAGTCAGTTTCGCATATAGACAAGTCCTAAGTCACTTAGATACCTTTGAAGATCATGCTTTTCATGTATAATCTCTGAGATAGTTTCTGAAAATTCATGAGTAAACTTAAAACTTTAAATGTTGGAGTATGTTTTAGTGACATCTGACAATCTGGAAATGCCTATATGTAATTGCAGATATCGTTCTGGTGGAGGAAAATCCCCAAATCAGCTGACTGTGAATGAGCTTCGGTTGTTTGTAAGACAGCTGTATGCTCTACCCTGTGTCCTCAGTCAGACTCCATTACTGAAGGTAACTTTGAGAGCTCTAAAGAGGACGGGGAGGAACTAAAACACTTAAAGATAGCAATAAAATGTTCTTAAGACTGCATACAGTTGAACAGCTAGTCTAGAACAGGAATTCACAAGTGGAAGGACTCATGTTCTGTTTAGTGTTGCTGATACACTATTTATGAAAATATTCTAAATCTCAAGGTATTAAGAGGAGGATGAGCATTTCAAGGTAAATTTTCCTCGTGCATTCCTTGCATCATACACTATGCCTACACTATAGTTTGTTGGCATAACTTATGTCACCCAGGGGTGTAAATATACCACCCCCGACTGACATAAGTTACATCAGCATAAGCACTTGTGTGAACAAGCTATGTTGCCAGTATAGCTCCTGCTGTTCGCGGGGGTGGGTTTTTTTTATGCTGATGGGAGAGCGCCTGTCGGCATACAGCGTCTTCACCACACATGCTGCAGTGGCGCCGCTGTTTTAGTACACCTGTGCCGCTGCAACACTGTACATATAGACATGGCCTTAGTGAGGTGTTTGCCAGTAAATTCTACTAGCAGTGCTTTAACTAACTGAACAGCCAAGATTGCAGTGCTGTTGGGTATAGGAACTTTAAGCTTTGACAATGGATTTCTCCTTTTGTTTTAATAGTTGCTGTTGTGTGTTTCAGGATCTTCTTAATCGTGTGGAAGCTTTCCAACAGCATAGCCAAAAACTTCTCTCTGAAGAAATGCCCAGTGCTGCAGAACTGCAGGAGCTATTGAATGTCAGCTTTGAGTTTGATGTTGATCTTCCACAGCTAGCAGAACTGCGGATCCGTCTGGAGCAGGCACGCTGGCTGGAAGATGTACAGCAAGCTTGCTTGGATCAAAGCGCCCTTACTCTGGATGATATGAGACGACTCATAGACTCAGGCGTTGGACTAACTCCTCATTCAGCAGTTGAGAAAGCAATGGCTAAACTGCAAGAACTTCTTACTGTGTCTGAACACTGGGATGACAAGGCCAGAAATCTGATAAAGGCCAGGTAGACGCTGAATCTTAGAGTTTGGGAATAGGTGCAATTAGTGTTGCATCTTTCATTTGGTAACCCAAAAAGCAGGCAGTTCACATGTGGTCCTGACTTTCTTGCCTTTGTTTTTCTCTTCATTTTTATGAGTGCATGAATATACTAATGTGTCATTACTTAGTTTGTATCAGGTATTGCATGGAACTTTGTAATATTGGATGATGTGTAGACAAACAATTCCATGCTGCTTATATATATCTTATATGGACAAATGAAGGGAGGGGAAGATGGAAAGGACCTGTAAAAACAGTTGAAGGTTCAGATCAATTCAATTGTTTACTCCTCCATCAGTGTTTCAGATCTTAGTGCTTTTCTACACAATAAAGCTAAAATGTGAATTATAAGCTAAGATGTGAATTTAAACCAGTGTGGTTCTACCGGTATCAGTCCCCCATTTAGACATTCTTATACCGGAATAATAGGGGCTTTTTTGATTTTAGCTTATGTTACTTAAGATAGGATGTAAGCTAAACCAAAAAACCCCACTATTATACTGGAATAAGAGTAGCCAAGTGGGGTGGTTTATACTTCTATAGTTGTAATTATATCAGTATAAATGGTAAAACTCTCCCATGTAGACAAGGCCTAAGGATGGAGAGAGGAGGAATTGAGATGGAATACCTCCTCACTGTGAAAAGGATGCTGCTGGGCGTTTCACCCTCAATATAAAGGAAGAAATAACATTTGTTACGTTCATTAAGATGTAATTGAAAGCTGTGTGCTAAGTGCAGATTCTATGAGACCAGAATTTGGCTCCCAGATCCTTGGCTTCATATTTATTTAAACACTAGAGCATTTCTTACCACTCTTGTACTAGTCAGATTGTTTATTATTTAAGACAAATGTGATGGTAAAGCGCAAACTACAGAATAATCCCACAAAAAATCAGAGCTATAGGTGAAATTGTGCCTGTAAGCAACAAAACTAAGTTATGAATTGCAGAATATACAGTATGTAATAGCATCATGACAAATAAATATTTTTTCCTGAAGCCCCTACTATTAGCTGACAGGTTTGAGTTAAGGGTGAATATGCTGTATCTCAAAATTTCCTGCCTTTGGAGCTTTCTGACAGATGCTCAGGCTCTCATTCAAAGGTTTATGGAATTTTAAATTTTATGTTAAATCTCCCTCATGGAAATGTATAATCACTATAAAATAAAAACCCAAATTTTCCTGATTGGTCACCGCAACTCTGATGAGAAGAAAAAGGATGCATGTAGTACACTGCTTTTTCTTTTAAACCACTTTGGACACCTCTTTTCAAAATATATAAGGCACTCCAGAATCAAACAGCAGTTTTTTGAGTAAACAAGGTTCTAACACCTTCGTTTGCTACAGTGACTTTACTCTCCTCATTCTTTTTAGCTGAAGGTGAACAACAAATTAAAAACCAATGGAGTTAAACATAAATTTGTGCCAGATGGCCCCATTAACCAGGCTGAGTGTGCAAGGCAGCAGTCGCCCCAAGATAAGTTTTAAGTAGTCTTAAACAACCAACCATTTTTTTTTCTCTCTCTGAAATCCTCGTGGTACATACTCAATAATTCAGTACCAGGAAATGTACCAAAATGATTTCACAGGCACTGAAGGACACACATTTGAAATGTTTACATTTTACACAGTTAAAAAAAAAATACTGTGGTGAACAACCTCTCCTTAGCTTTCTTTTCAAGTTCTTCAGTATACCTAGCAAAAACCTTTTACATGCAGGGAAAAAAACACTTTTAAAATGTATCTCTCAAGTTTAATGGGTATGGTGAACCGAAATCTCTGCTCAGTCCCTTTTTTTTTTTTTTTTTTTTTTTTTTTAAAGTCAGCTGTGCGACAGAAACTCATATACAGTGCTCTGGGTAACTTCGAGTCTTACACCTCTACATTCCTAGCTACAATGATCCAAGTTGGCATTTAAGTCACTGGCTAGTGGTCTCTGTCTACTTTTCCCTAGACTGAGATCCATATTGCTCACCTTTTCCAGGCATAAAAAAACTTTTTTTTTTTTTTAAAGTGAGACGAATAAGTCCAACAGCCCTTTCTCACTTATGTGGTATATGATATTTGTGGAGGGGCATGGATGTGGGATGTGGTGTCCTTTTCTTAAATTGTGCCTAGTTTTAGCCTGAATTTAACTATTACAAAAATACCAGTTTTTTAAAATGAATTATTTATAAATCAAAATGTTAACACTCCCAAATGTCACTGCAGTAATGACTTACTTGATAGCCAATAATTAGGTATTGTGCCATACATTATTGTTGTTAAAACCCTAGTCATATTACCAAGACACACATTCACCGGTAGTTTTGGGCATACCTTCCTCCCTTTGAAACAGCTCCTTGAACAGCATAGTTTTTTAGTGGTAAGAATGTAGTCTCATTCTTAGAATTGTGTGTGTGTAGGGTTCATCCCTAATTCAGTTCAATTTGTTTTGTAGTTTGAGATTTTTCACCAGCCTTTGAATAACAAAGCTAAAATGAACTACTTTGTATCACATTTTGAGTAGGCTGTGTGTATCATTTACATAGACCACGACAGTCAGTAAGCAGTCTTGCGGCAGCAGTCAAGGAGATAGAGGAGATTCCTGCCTATCTCCCAAATGGTATTGCTCTGAAAGATGCTGTACAGAAGGCCAAAGATTGGCTACAGGAAGTGGAGGCCCTGCAGGTAGGTAAATTGTTCCTGTTTGTTATTCATTTGGGAATATTCATAGATTGATGTCAGTGGACATGTCACTTCACTGACTTTTGCATATGCTAGAAGTATGTGCTTCAATCTTCTTTGAAATTAAGCATGCTGGTTTTGTAACAGTTACTGCCTTAAAACAACTAGTTAAATTATGGACTGATGAATGCTTAATTTTTACTTATATCTCAGGCAGCAGTGGACCTTATGTATATTACTTGAATCTGGAATTAACTTACTGCAATGAATCTATAAAATGAGCTGTTGGTAGATAAATAGTGCAAAACATTCCTTAATATATGTCTCTCACAGCCACCAGTTAACAATTATGACACTATATTTTAACACTACTATCGTTTTTGTACCATTATCTAGCCACAAAAAAGCCTTGCTGGTAAAAGCCACGTTGCTAAGACTATTTTATTTCTAGCTTACTCTGGTCATTATTTTAACGTTAGGGATTGCCTACTATTTTCAGAGATTGTCTGATGACTATTTAAAACAGCATAGTTATACTGTATCTGTGTAGTTTTTTGCTTATGGCCCAGTTATTAAGCTAACATCTAGTTGTAAATATATAATATGCATTATATGCCCAGTGACATCAGAATTCTCACGTGAACTAATTTTGGAATTACTGTGATGATAATAGATAACATGAGCAGCTGTTCATGTCAGATAAAAAGTGAGGTTAAAAAAAACAAAACATTTTACACTCCTTTACTCATTTCTAACACTCTTAATATTCCCATTTGTATAGAGAAGGCTTCTCTGACTGGACCCATTTATACATGTATCAGTTAAACATTCTGAAAACAAGTCTGATGGACTCAGTGATAGGAATGAATCTGGCCCTCGAGAACCTTGTCTGCACTGGAGCTCCCAGAAGTGCTACCAGTGGGCATTTTTGGTAAATGTCCCTAGTGTAGAAATGATATATGAATGGTTTTCCTCTTATGTATTTTATTTTGCATTCACTGTTGAAGTCATGACAGGAATTGGCTGAAACTTCTGTCCTATGAGAAGTAATGTTTTACTTTGGTGATTTTTTGTCCATACTCGATGGCTGTCATTTATTTATACTCTGTCTTTAAAGGAATTGATTGATTTGTGAGTACACTGATAGTGAGCTTCCCAAGCAAGTTGAAAGTCTGCAGTGTGCTGACAGACCAGAATTTTGGGCTTTCCACCTTAGCCGATATCCTACTATGTGATACTTTATCATAATAGGCAAAAATTGCTCCACACAAGAGAAGCATTGCTGTTGGAACTACATTTTGTCTTCTTTGGCTGAAATGGTGTGGCTGAACAACTTGTGCAGTGGTTAACAGATTAATATCATGTGATCTGGATGTTTATTCCTTAAGACTATTCAGAAATTGCAGCTAGTTTGGAATGTAGTAGTTGCCTATTGTAGATTCATAGATTTTTAAGGCCAGAAGAGACTATGGTGATCATCTAGTCTCACCTTCAGTAAAACACAGACAATAGAATTTCATCTAGTTAACTCTTGTGGTAGAGGGAATTATTTTTCCCTACTGTACTGCTTTATGTACTGTGGTTATACTAAAACATATCATTTAGACAACCAATCTCAGTTTAAAGACCTAAAGCAACAGTGAATTAACCACTTCACATGGGAAACTTTTATTATCTTCAGTGTTAAGAATGTGCATCTTGTTTCCAAATTGAATTTTTCTGACTTCAAATTTCAAGTGTTGGATCTTGCTATGCTGTCATCTTCTAAACTTAAAGGGCCTCCTAATATCAGAAACCTTCTTCCACGTGTACATACTTAAAAACTCTCTTCAGTTTTTCAACATCCTTTTTAAAGTGTATACAAGGGATATGTTCTCTTTAAGGGAAAGGATGGTTCAGGGGTTAAGGCAGTAGCCTGGCTCTTAAACCAAGGTTCAGTTCCCTACTCTGCCACAGACCTTCCTATGACACTGGGCAAGTCATAATTTTTTTTTTTTTTTTTTTTTTTAAAGGGCGCAAGAGATCTAGATGCCCAAATCTTGTTGACTTCCCCTGGGAGTTGAGCACCTAACTTTCTTAGGTCCCTTTGAAAATTTTGGCCTTAGTTTCTCTGTGGGCCTTTGTTCTTCTTCTGTAAGATACAGATAACAACACTTCCCGGCCTCAACAGGTGTTGTGGGGATAACTACGTTAAAGATTGTGAGAAGCTCGGCTTCTACAGTAATGGGGGTTAGATAAGTACCTAACAGATAGATTTAGTAGTTTAAAATTGTGGCAAAACTGCTGCTAAAAGCCAAATTTTGCATTGTCCATATAATTTTACATCTGAAGTCACATTAGCCTGTAAATTGGAAGATGATCTTGAGTTTGGGGAAAATTGAAGATCGTCTGATAAAGTAGTATGCCAAAATGCAGGAACCCAAAAACTGAGCTGTTTTCAAAGTTAGAAGGATTTTGTAACATTTTTTTGCACATAGGATAAAACAGAGATAGGAAGCACAAGAAACCTATATCACTGGACACCCCTCACTGAGTTTAGTGCATGGTACTGAAAACATCTAACATGTGAAATATAATAATTTCTTAGACCTTGTTTTTTAGAATTACAGACTGGAATTAACGTACTACTGGCACACTACACAGACTCCTGTGCTCTCTCCTCTTCCCCATTGTACCTTTGAATTGTGTGGTATTCTGTTAGCAAAATAAGAGTGCTGCTTCATTCCATTTTTAATGTTTTAAATTATGGATCACTTTCTTCATAGCGTGTACTAGATCTCAGGGGTAGGGTGGTGCAATGATAGGTCTGAGGGAAAAAAAGTGGTAGAGGGCTTTAGCAGCTGTTCAAAATAACTCAGTTTTTAGGATGCTTTGTCTTGGGAACTTTTTTTTCGGATGACTTCAGATTTTCTCTACGAGTTCTACCCTGACCTGACCACTAATTTTCAGTCCAATATACTTTTCTTGGGATTTTAAAGAGGCTGAAAAATTTACCTTTTAGCAGAAACTATGAAGAGAGAGTGCGTTTCCTGGGTTTTGTAAGTTTGGGTTTTGTTTATTCTTACAACACTAACTTTTTTTGGAGATATCATGTGGCAACACCTTAACTGAACATTTGCTGGTTTTCTAATGTTTAAGTTAGGGGCTTTGACGTTCCACACACTGAAGGGTATGAAGAGAAGGCCCTGTTGAGTGGCAGCACCCTTAATTTCAGCTCTTTCTCTATTTCTAAAAATGTATTTGATTGAATCACTTACAACAAACATTGTTTCCTATAGCAGTACATAGTATCAGTGCTATGCAATCTTTTGTCAGTTGAGTTTTGGATGAAATTTAAGGTGTTTGTAACCTGTAGAGTCCTAAATGGTTTGAATTCTGCCTGTTTCAGAAATCACCTCTCCTTTATGTGATTCTGCCATGCTTCCAATTGATGGAGCCACTTGATCTGTAGACCCCTAATTAAATGAACAGGGGCTGCTTTTAAGGGGAGCTCTGCTTTGGAATGTTACTCTGCTATGATGTGCATAGACTGGATATGCATAGACAGGTTTTGATTTACCTTCAGGGCACACTAGAAATTCATTTGCTTTCCAGCAGAGAGGGATTCATGGTGGTATAGATGCTAGGAGCTTTTAGCTGGGGGAGTCTTTTTGGCCTGGAGTTATTTTGTAGTTGTCCTTTTTTTTTTTTTTTTTTTTTTTTTTTAATGCTTTCAGTTTGAAAATGTACTTTATTATCAGGGCATTTAAAAAATACAGATAACAAACTGGTGCCAAAAATTGAAAAGAAATCATAAATAGGACTGTTCTCAGTAGGTGAATAAAGTGCCTAGATTCTGTTTTACAAAATCTCACTCCAGTTGATTCAAATGTCTTTGTTCTGTTTTTGTCTTGTACAAATCAAGCATCTCTTAATTTCTAATTCATTAGGCTGGAGGACGTGTGCCCGTGCTAGACACACTTGTGGAACTTGTGGCGAGAGGTCACTCTATCCCGGTACATCTGGACTACCTGCCAAGGCTAGAGTCTTTAGTGGCAGATGTTCAAGCTTGGAAGGAGTGTGCAGCCAATACATTTCTGACAGAGAACTCCCCTTACTCACTTCTAGAGGTAAGAACTCTAAACTGTATCCACACATGTGCACAGAAAGAATAGGAGTACTTGTGGCACCTTATGGAATGTCTACACTACCCGCCGGATCGGGGAGCAGCGGCAGTCGACCCCGCGTCGTGAGGAAACGAGGTAAGTCGACCTAAGATACGTCAACTTCAGCTACGCTATTCTCGTAGCTGAAGTTGCGTATCTTAGGTCGATTCCCCCCTAGTGTAGACCAGGCCTTAGAGACTAACAAATTTATTTGAGCATAAGCTTTCATGGGCTACAGCCCACTTCATCAGATGCATAGAATGGAACATCTAGTAAGAAATATATATACATACAGAGAACATGAAAAGGTGGAAGTAGCCATACCAACTGTAAGAGGCTAATTAATAAAGATGAGGTATTATCAGCAGGAGAAAAAAAATGTTTGTAGTGATAATCAAGATGGTCCATTTTAGACAGTTGACAAGAATGTGTGAGGATACTTAACATGGGGAAATAGATTCAATATGTGTAATGCACAGAGTTCGTGTCTAAGTAGTCCCTCACTGCTGTAGGTATTAATCCCATAAAAAGTTGAAATTGGCATTAATATTTTATTAAATGTTTTTGCAAAAGGTTTTAGAGGCATTGTGCATATTGTAAGTTTACTGCATACTTCTCTTCAGCCTGGAGGAGGCTTGTTTTGTATTTTCCTTAACTAACTAAATTGGAAACAAAGACTAACTGTGCAGACAAACTTCCCATATCAAATTCTTAAGTACAGTGTGAGCAGAGAGGTGCTTGTGACACTGCTCGTTAGCCTGGATATTAATCTAAACTGTTGCAGCAACTGGAAACATTCCTAACCTTTTCCCAGACCCTCATTTATAAACTGGGGGTGTCTGGAGGGGCAGCCTTGGAGTCTTAGTGTGGCCAGGAGCTGACTAAAGTCAAGAGGGAATAATGCGTGCTGCAGCAGAGTCTCCCTGGACCTCCACTCCATATTAAAGATGAATTTGGCTGCGGTCTCGTCCATTTCAGTAAATGGGATTCAGTCCTCTGGCTACTGTTTTTCCCCCCAACATAACCTTTGCTTAGTCAAAGTTTTAGGGTACTTCTGTTCTAAGTGGACTTATAAGTGCGTGGCCATATGTTATGCCAGGATAAATGCACTGAGAAATGCTCCACACAGTTGTGCTTTGGCTGTTTCTTAGGTCTTGTCTCCCAGATGTGATATTGGAACACTGGGTCTTAAAAGGAAACAGAAGAAATTAAAGGAGCCAGTGCCAAATGGAAAGAAGAGAGGGACCAGGCTGGAGAGTCTTTGTGATCTGGAAAGAGCTCTGTGTGAGAGTAAGGAGACGGCCTCTGCGGTATGTATTAAGCTTTGAAATACAGGCTCCTCTTAGGGTTTTTTCCCCATTTGATTTTATATCCCTAGTATCTCCCTGCTGCCCAGCTTCTCTCCCAGCTCTCCACAAGAGGGGTGTAGAATTCTCAGGAGTCTTGTGGTGTTGCTAAGTCTTGCCCCCTCGTCAGTTCTGCCTCTGGTGATGGCAGAAGTAGTCAATTTGGCTTTTTCTCACTAGTTTGTTTTTATATATTTTAGATTTTATTTCTTTATTTGGGCAATAGCAATCTCATTCAGTTTATATCTCCTCTCTTCAGCCTGGGAATCACCAGGGTACTGAGGTTCTAGCCCTCTGGTGCAGCATCTCTCTACAGGGCTTTGTCTTCCCCTCACCCCTGACCTAGCACACATATATGCAGAGTTGCTCTGCGTGTTTCTAGCAAAGTCCAAGAGGTGCTAGATTTGTGAGGTTGCCTTTCAGAAGCTTCTGAGAACAATCTCTGTTCTGCTTACTACTAGCCAGGTGACCTTCCCTTTGCCAGGGCATGAAGCTCTGAGTCAAACCAACACGTCAGGGCCTTATGATTTCTCCTTCCACCGTGGAAAAGCTCAACCAAGAGCAGCAAGTTTCCTCCCAAAAGGATTCCCACTCCTGTTCATATCAGAGATGCTCTCCAAATTCAAGGTTGCTTCTTCTGTGAAGCTCTGTTTCAGGTTCAGAAGAGGAATTGGTTTGTGGGCTGCGAAGTAGGGGTACAGCAGCTCAGCCAGAGAAACTGGTTCTAAGTCTGAGGTAGAAAAGGGTTTCTCTTCAACCTTCACAGCTGGGACTCCATGTCAAAGTGCAAGGAGTGCTTTGAGTAATCTATGCCCAGCCAAGAAGCACATAACATCTCCATTTCTCATGCATCATTGGATGACTGTGCAGTAAGTGAGAAATCCCTATCTATGTACAAAATGCCACTTGATTTACTGAACAAAGCCCAAGTTACTAGGTCTTTCAGCTTTCCTTTCAAACTTCCAAGCCCCTATTGGGCTCTTCACATAATCTGGATTTGCTCCAATGCCTATCCTTGGGTGGGTGAATTCCAGATAAATTACATTGAAGCACAGGGCCCCCTCCCTCTTGGGACAGGGAGACAGCAACTCCTAAGAAACCTTAAAAAACCCAAACCCCCAAGCATATTACTCCTTTTTTTTTTTTTTTCCCCTTCCCATAGTTCTGCTCTTGAAGAGGGCAAATTCTGAATCACCCTATTACCACTAGAGCTGGACAGTCAGGAAAAATTCCTGTGCCTGAACACTGCAGTAGTTTAGTTTGCAAACTGGCAAAACAGAAGAAGGTCTAAAAATTGATTGAAAAACCCTATTGAATACTCTCATCCTTTGAGGACATCATAGGATCTGAATGTGAACCGCCAGTTAGAACAAACAAACAAAAAGAAAATTTCATACATCATAGGTATTAACTCTCAATACAGCAGTAGCCCTACCAGGAGGGGGACTTTGTACCAAAAGATCTTATAAAGCTTAAGTGAGGGCACCCTATTCTGAGATTTCAAAGCCACAACAGCTGCTCCCTGGATTAAAAAGATATCCTGTCATTAAAGAAGAAAATCTATATGGCGGCAACAAAGTGGCTCTACGCACTTCTGGAAGAGGAGCATTGGCATGTTTATAACACTCTTCAGTAGAGTCTAACCCACTTAGAACAATATTGGGATGTAACTGCCTGAATTTTACTCTCTTCTCCATAAGAGACAGTCTAGGCAATTTCCTGTATTTCTCAGACTTAATCAAATAGCAGGGTAATGCTCTTGTAACATCCAGTGTGCTTCCCCTGGACTGTTACTTGTAGCCATTCTTCTTCTTTGAGTGCTTGCTAATGTCGATTCCATTGTAGGTGTGCACATGCCCACGTGTGCGTTTGTCGGAGACTTTTGCCTTAACGGTATCCATTGAGCTGGCTTTGGCGCCCTTTGGAGTGCCACGCTTATGCTGCAGTGTATCAGGTGCGTCGGCATGTGGTGGACACTCGGGTCGCCTCTGTCCCTTGCTTCACAAGCGTTCTCTCCTATCTCAGCCTTGTGCTTCTAGCTGTAAATAGTTTAATCATTTGTTAGTCAGTTGTTAAGTAGCTGTTTAAGTGTTTAGTCAGATAGCGTGTGGGGTGGTGGGGGATGACTTTGTCCCGGGCAGGGCCCCTGTCTCTGGCCTATGCCTGTTAGTGACCCACATGAGAGTTGTGTAAGCTGCCTTGGGGAATCCCACATAAAGGAGCGCTGTCAGATATGTAAGAACTTTCATTCTCAGACACAGAGAGAGCACAACATATGTCTCAGGGCCCTCCTGATGCAGGCTGCCCTACGCCCAGCTTCAGAGCCGGCACAGTCTGATACGGCACACAGCACTTCGGCTTCGGTGTATAGCGCACCCCCGGCACCAGGCTCTTCCTGGCACCAATCCCCTGGTCACTGGTGCTGAAGAAAAAACAAAGAAGTCGGCACCAAGCAAGCCCAAAAAGGGGGCTCTGGGTAAAGGACCCTATTCGGGCCTTACAGACACTCCAGGCCTGCAAAAGGGCTCAGGACTGCAAAAGGGCTCAGCCCCGCGGAGTTCGTCCCCACAAAAGGACCTGCCACCAACTCCAGGGAGCAGTAAAGGGCCCAAGCCGAAGGCGCAGCTGACCTCCTCTCAGCTCCCAGCGCCTGGAGATTTAAGCGCACCCCCGCCACAGCTGGCACTGTGTGCAGCAATGGAACAGGCTATGGTACCCCGTGAGGACAGACCTGCCAGACAAGGCCTCACACAAGACAAGCAAGCACTACTGATCTCCGGAGCCAAGACAGAGCCCTAGGTCACCATATTCTTAGTCTCCACGTTGGCCCAGGTCTCCGGCTTGCCACTACGAGTCATTGGCATCGCGCTCCCAATCTCTGTCAGCACACTGGGGCTTGCCCAGGCGTAGACAATCTCCTCAGCACCAGTCTTCGTCGTGCCGTTGGTCGCCGTCGCTGAGACCTTGAGGACTCTCCCTACTCCCAGCACCAGTCAGACCACTCCCGGCACCAGTTGCCAGTGGCGACAGTGAGCCGTCAGACCCAGGCCTCAACAGCAGGGGGTGACGACTTCTCTAGCTCAGAGGTGGAGTTCAGCCCCTTGCCCAGACAGCAACGTGATTGGGCTCCAGAGAGCGCGTGCGCGGCATCAGCATTGACACCGTGATTCAACTTGCAACAATTGGTTTCGACTTTACGACGCTCAGTCCTACAATGGAGTGGATTGCGGTTCTGAGTTACGACATTTCGACTTTCGACACAATTGATTCCTGAAAATTGTGTTGTAAGTCCGAGGACTGCCTGTATTCTGCAAAAAAAAAATATCTGTTAGTGTTAACAGCCAATATAGCAACTGTGTTTTTTAAACAGACTGGGAGATGTGTATTCCTTCCCACTGTGCCAGGAAGCAGTTCTACTTTGGGAGTTCTGCATAACCAACTCAGTTACCTCAAAGCTGCTTACCTCTCAGGGGAGCACAAGACATTGGCAGATCACTTAAGCAAGTCTTTCTCCTCTCACCATGAATGGTGAATCCAGACATAGCCAGATCCATCTTCCAGCTGTGATGAACTCCACAAGTGGACCTGTTTGCAACAAAGGCCAACAGAAAATGCCATCAGTTTTGCTCCCAAGAGGGTCACAGCGCTGGCTTTTTGGATGCTTTTCTGTTATCATGGATGAACTCCCAGTTGTATGCCTTTACTCTGATACGATTACTATCCAGAGTCCTATTTGAGGCCAAGCGGGAACATGGTTGCCTCATATTAATAGAACCAGCATGGCTTCGACAACGCTGCTTCTCAACCATATTAGCAAGGCCTCCTCTACCAATCCCATTAGATTCAGACATGATCTCTCAGGAACATGGCTGTCTGTTCCATCCCAACCTACAGGCCCTCCACTTGACAGAGTGGATGCTTCCTGGCTAACACCACTAGAAATGACTTTATTGAAAAACATTGAGGAGGTGCTTCTGAACAGCAGAAAGCCTTCAACTAGGCATACTTACCTGGCCAAATAGAAATATTTTTCTATCCGGTCTGAACAGAGAAGTGTCTCTCCAGTGTTTTGAATTATCTGTTGCACCTAAAACAGCAAGGCCTGACAGTTCCATTAAAGTACATTTAGCAGTGATTTCAGTGTTCCACCCCACAGTGAGCAGTAGATTGCTTTCCACCTCTTTGTGAAAGTGGCATTTCTGGTTGTGATGACCTCAGCAAGGAGAGTGGGTCCATTGAGAGCCCTGATTCCAGAATCTCCTTATATTTTTCCATAAGGATAAAGTTTACCTCTGCCCTCACCCAAAATTATTAACATAGGTCATTTCCAATTTCCACATGAATCAGGCAATTTATTTGCCAACATTTTCCCGAAGCCTCACATGCATACAGATGAGTGAGCAGAAGCATCATTGCTGTATGTGAGGAGAGCACTGGCCTTCTACTTGGACCGCACCAGAACCTTTAAGATCCTCAATGCAGTTATTTGTCACAATTGCAGATGCGGTGAAAGGCAAATCGGTTTCCACTCAGAGGACTCTTGCATTTGTTTGTACTACCGGTTAGCTGTATCACACCACCCCTTGAATATTGGCTCATTTGACTATAGCAGAAGCAGCTTGAGCAACTTTTCTAGCACAAATACCCATTCAAAATGTTTGCAAAGCAGCAAACTGGTCATCATTGCACACTTTTTCTGCTTATTATGCCATTTTCCATCAATCCAGTTTCAGACAGGCTGTTCTACAATGCTGATCGGGTAGACTCTGAACCCCGCCTCCACATTAATCTGCTTGTGAGCCACCTAATGTGGAATGAACATGTACAGTCACTTGAACTAAAAATGGTTACCTGCCTTTCCATAACTGTTGTTCTTTGGGATGTTGTACATGATCATTCTGCAAGGAACTGAGGGGCATTGGGGGTAGCTGCACCTTATTGCACCTTATCAGAAGGAGGCTTTC